TCCCCCCCTCTCTCTCTCTCTCTCTCTCTCTCTCTCTCTCATTCATTGCTTATCTAGTGTCCAGACGCTAAATACATGCAGTCAAAAAGGGCGATATAGACAGATATAAAAGGAGAGAACGAGTAGCGGGATTAGAAAGAGAGAGAGGACAAAGAGGAGAATTGAAGATGCTTTCCCTCCACCAAAGCGACCAAACAGTCCGACAGACACGTACAAATACCACTCTTTCTACCTCACCACCCATCCTCCTGCCCCATGCCCCACGACCAGTGCTGTCAGAGAGTTTACAGGTGCTGTCAGAGAGTTTACAGATGCTGTTAAAACATGCCCGCGTCAAGAAATCCCACCCCCTAAAGAAACACCACCATTGTAGGTGCCCTATCTTTACCCGCTGATTATCATATACCTGAACGAACAACCTCACCCCCTCCCCCCACCCCCCGGTAAATCGCTGGACGTTCGTTCACCCGCACGATACAAGGCTTGGCCAACGACACACAGACACACAGTATTGGCCCTCTCTCTCTGGGACTGGGGACTGCGTTAGCGCTAGTGGTGGGCAAAATCCGGATAACCTATCTGGATAACTAATCTGTATCCGGATAACCGGCTAATTCTCAATGAAACATTATCCGAATTCAGACTCTTAAACTCTCTTTCCTGACCCGTTTGCCAAAGTGGGTGCACCCAATTGTTAAAGTGATGCTTAACTGTTTGTCGAAGTTGTACTAACCCATTTGCCAAAGCGGTTCATGACAATAAATTAAAATCACGGATTCATACAAATTAACTCGGACTTACAATCGACAACAAATTGACATTGCAAAATCACGTAAACAATATTGTTAAAAGGTAAATCAGAGACTGTACTTTCTTTTTAGTTTAATTTTAGTAGAGGTTTTACGGCGCTCGCAACTGCATAAGGTCATATGAGCGCCAGAAGATTACAGCTGTTACAAGAGAGTAACAAACATAAAAAAAGATGAAGGGGAGGTAAGGACGATATATGTTTGATAGGAAAGAAGAAGCAAACCACACCAGAGCACCCGCCAACCACCCACTCTGTACTTTCTGAGGAAACTTAGGTCTTTCAATCTGAATCCAACCACCCTTCAGATATAGAAACCACCACAATAGAAACTTTGATACATTTTTGGTATCTCTTGCTATGGTAGCAATTTGGGAAGACAGCATAATAATCATAATATCATAAAAATAAACTAGTTAATCAAAAAGGCATCAAGAACAATTGGTAAAGACCTAAGTGACTTTGAATATCTACACAAAACGAACGTTCTAAAAAAGGTGGAAATAGTGCTAAGTGACCATAGCCATCCACTGACATCGGAATTTCAATTATCGACAGGCAGTAAACGATACATTGAAAAAACAAAAACAAGAACAGACAGATATAGAAATTCATT